AGAAAAGGAAACCTCAGAAGGTGATTATTAAACCTTGCGATCAATTTGGAAAGATGGCAAGTGTGATACAACGTCAGCCTTTCAGTACTTGGAGCTGGAACCACAACTGAATAGAAGGTTGTGTGTGTGCCTGTGTGCGTGTCTGTGAGTGCATCTGTGTGAGCATGAGTGTGTGTCTGCAAGTGTGTGTTTTCTTTAAGCGATGGCTCTGAAGCCTTTGGCCTTGGGCACCACGCTTCCTTTGTTTGGGGGGGGGGCCCTGATTTTTGGCAATTGTTGCGGGACTATTATGTTAGTGCATAGGGACTGGGGACCTCGCATCTTTACTGTTACTGCCACCGTGCAATTAGAATACTGACAACTACCCAGTAGGACGCTGCAGGCAGTAAGGCTCCGTCCCTGGGTCCGTGGTCCGAGACTCATGGTGACCCGCTGTAGTGACGCTGAGTCTGCACAGCCCCGTTGGCCGGACCCAGCAGCCCTGAGAGACAGCCAAGGGCCCCAGCCCATGTCTTTATGCTTTGCCCATGCCTCCAACCCGCCTTTTCTCTTAGGAAAGAACCTGTCATTGATTCCCGTGAGGGTATACCTGCAGCTCCCTTCCCTGTGGCTCCGCCCTGAACACAAAGGAAGGGGCTCAGGGCCGAGCTGCCACCCAGCCTGGACCTTCCAAGGCTCCTGGTGCATCAGTCCCACCAGAGGTTTGTGTGACTGTGTGGGACCAGGCTGGGTCAAAGCTGTCTGGGTGATTTGATGTGTGCCCGGGTGCAGGACACTTGCTTTGCACACAGGGGAACTAGTGTGGACACCTAAGCGGATTAAGGCAAGCCTGAATGACGCCCAGTCCTGTAGACAGAGGGGAGCGCAGGGGTCTGTGGCAGACCAAGGGACACACCCCAGCTGCCTCCTGAGCCCACTGCCTGGAGCTGTCCCTGGGCTCCGCCTCCATCTCCTGGGAGACAGTGTGGCTGCCTTGGTGATCACCAGGATAGAGAGGAGAAAGGAGGCCTTCCTCTTCCCACACTCTGGGGCCCAGACTCAAATTTAAAGCAGTTTGTGATTCTGGAGGTTCTGGCTCTGCCAGTTCCTCGAGGTGACATGGTGCATCTGGGAAATGGAGTGGCTGCCCGGCTGCGGCCCAGGCTCCTTGGGTCTCTTTCGTCTGTGAGCTGAGTGGCTCCCAGCCCAGAGGGGTGGGATGGCGCCTTCTGAGGGCATCGGCCTCCGTGATGCTCCTCAGACCCCCTCTCCCTTCTTGCCCGCACACACTTGCACCAAAAGCACCGGCAATTCGGCCCTGGGATGGACACATCTCCCAGGAACTGGAGAGCTGAGTGTCCATCACTGGGAGTGCTGTGGACTTGGGCCGCTCTGAACTCTGAAAGCACTTCCAGAACTTGCATTTTTTCCCAAATGATCTTGGTGTCCATGTGCTGTGGCCCGCCTTGACCCAATATCTGCATCTGTGGTGTTTTCCTGCTCAGATAGTGTTTCATAGAGGCAGGTTTGGTAAAATGTATTTCTGCCCTGATAAAATATATTAAAATACATTTCCATTCTAAATCAGTCAGTGCCTGCTCTGAATTAATCACCATCATGCACAGTAATTAGGTATATATGAATCTATAAGAGAGTTTTCCTTTCGGGAAGGAGGTGTTAATTCTATTTAATACCACACACATACTGTGTGCCTGAAGATTTTCCCCAGAAATCAGACTTCTATTTTCTAAAACGTAATTCAAGATTATTCTCCCTAAATTCCCTAGAAGTTGCTGCAGCAGTTCAGAAAATTTGAGCATGCACAACGAGAGAATTCAGTTACTTCCCTAGAATCCAGGCGGAAGCCAAGTAAAACAGAAGTATGTGGGCCTTTCAGCCAACACTTTGGCATGAGAGACCTGGAGAGATCACAGTGGCCTCTGAGGACAGCAGTCCAGCTTCAAAGGCTGCTTTGCTCGCTTTGAGATGGGAACTCAGGAGATATTTTTCAGACTCCTCCTCTCCAGATCTCTCTTCTCTCTCTCTCCCCTCTTTCCTCCCTCCCTCCCACCTCTCCACCTTTCCCCCTCTCTGCTCTCCTCTCTCTCTCCTTTCCCTCCCTCTCTTTCTCTGTTTCTCTTTCCCCTCCCTCCCTCTCCTTCTCTCTCCCTCCACCTCTCTCTCTCTTTCTCTCTTTTCCTTCACCCTTTTTTCCTTCCTCTCTCTTATCTCCCTCTCTTTCACTCTTCCTGTCTCCCCATACTGTGTTCAGCCTGACCCATTTGTATCTAACAATCGCTATTTCTATACACTGAAATTGCAGCCCCCCTTTCTTTGACTTCTCCCTGTTCCTCCCTCATAGATTTTATGACCAATAAAGGAGTTTCTTTTTCCACCTGCTCCAGTCACCACCCCTTTCCTTCTGCAGCATTCGCACGCAGCTGCCGTGAGTGCCCAGACTCGCGGCTCTGGTGAAGCAGGTAGGCTTAGTGATTCCCTCTGACTTTTCTTTGCAAAGTCTACTAGATTAAGACGTCTACTTGAATGAGAAAGTCTATTTGAATAAGAACGAGGAGTTTCTACCTTTTGGTGCAGGATTCCAAATTAGACGTTGCAGGGGCTGGCCCCGTGGCCGAGTGGTTGGGTTCGCGGGCTCCGCTGCAGGCGGCCCAGTGTTTCATGGGTTCGCATCCTGGGCGCGGACATGGCACTGCTCACCGAACCACGCTGCGGTGGCGTCCCACATGCCACGGCTGGAAGGGCCCACAACTGAAATATACAACTATGCACTGGGGGCCTTTGAGGAGAAAAAGGAAAAAAAGTAAAAATCTTTAAAAAAAATTAGACGCTGCATTTCCCCAGGGGACAATCAACCACAGACGTATGCATTTGGGTGGACAAACTATTTTCGAAAAACCTTTTTAGATCTTTGCTTAACTAATTTATAGACTAGCCTTAACACCTGGCCATCTGAACCTGTAAAATGTCTGTAATTCAAACTGCCTTTCTAGACGTGTGATTTTCAAAGTGTGGTCCCTGGACTATCATCATCCGCATCACCTGGGAACTTAGGAATACAAACTCGTGAGCCCCGCCCCAGACCAACTGATGAGAAACCGGGGGTGCGCCCAGTAGCCTGTGCTCCATAAGCCTCCCAGTGCTTCCGAAGCGCGCTCAGGTTTGAGAACTCTGCTTCAGAGTGAAGGTCGTCATAGTGCCTGTGTCTGCAGGGTCAGAGCAAAGTTCGTATATGCGATGTCGGGGAAAACGTGTGGAATGAACCGAAATCAGAATACATGGGTCGAACCCCTGACAGTCATGACCGACTGCAGATCTGTAAATAGGACGGATATCCCCACATCATAGGGGTATAGAAAAGCACCACGAAATGGGTCACTTGCAAGAGTTCTTGCGCATCTTGAAAGAAACGCGAACCACCGTGTGCAGGGTCTCCTCGTACCACGAGGGGGCGCGCTGGCCTTTCCAATGCGGTCAGATACCAGCGTTTTTGTCTTTGAGGTCCTGTCATTCTCTGTATAAACAAGTTACGTTCAAGTGTTTAGGATATAAATTACGACCATGCCGGCTGCCTTGGAAGGAATGTAAACACAGCACTGTGGTCGGAGCAAACTCTGAAACTGACTTCATAATTTATAGCAGGCCCCCGTGTAGCTCAGTATAAAAGAGGAAGAAAAAAAGCTTTAACTGCAAATATGATAATGGAGACACAAAAAATGTTTAAATCACTCCCTAATTCTGGAAAATATAGAAAGGAAGCCTAAGGATTAAAAGATGGTTAAGACTTTTGAAAACAAGATGTTTTACTAATGAGGCCGCCTTTGGACTGAAATTCACTTGTAATACAAAAGCCCTGTGTGAGATATCTACTGAGCATATTAAGTGCCTCGTTATTGATTGGGAGAAAGACCTTTCAGGGAACAAGAAACAAAGGTGAGTTTTCAAAAACGAGCAAAAACAAAACAGAAAGCAGCCCCAAGTTGGAGAAGAAAGCCACAGCATGACTGTGGGTTGAGAAGCTGCGCTCTCCCCCTCAGGTCTGCGGGGTTGCCCATGACTTTGAAGGGCTGTGGGACAAGGCAGTGCTGGGTGGGAACCAAGTCCTCCTGCCCAGTCGACCTCTTTCCTCTTTTCCATTCTGAGCTTCACCAGCCCCGCTGTAGCATTCGTGATTGGGAAACCGTGATTGGGAAACCGAGCAGGAAAGGAAAGGGCTGGGGGAATCCTGAGGGAAACCCTTGACTCCCTGGTTAGAAGGAAGGAGGGAGTGCAGGGGACAAGGAAGGATGAAGAGAGATGTGTGGGGCTGGTGGGGCTGCTGCTAAGCAGGGCGTCCCTTCTCTGAATGGGAGGGTGGGCACAGACAGCAGCCAAAGAGCACCTTGTCAGGGCTGGGCCCCGCGTCTGCCACTCTCCAAGGAAGTTACAAAAGGTGAGCCTCTCAGAGACGGCCCACTACTGTCTGCAGCCTTCCCCTCTAGGATCTGACCCCCTCCCATCACAAAAGGTGATCAGCACACGCAACAAAACTGTGACTTGCAAAGGGGAAGCCCGTCCTGGGTAGCCCCAGGCGGTGACTTTCCACTCTGTTAGTCACTCCACTCTGTGCTCCTGGGAGGGAGGAAAGAGCCAAAGGCAACATGCTCCTTGGGCACAGGAAAGAGCAGAAAAGGGCATGAAACTCAGTGTCCTCAAATCCAACTCTGCCTTTCTTTATCTTGCCTCGTTTTCTTTCAAGTTCCTTTCACCTTCTGGTTTTTGTTTAGCCAGAAAGAGCTAGGGTGAAAGAAAGAAATAACAGAAAGCGTTCCTTCTTCTCTTTCTCTCCTGAGAAGACCCACAATCAGAATCTGGCCTGTGTTACTCAAGGCATAGACCCCACACCACGTCAATTATATAACTTGGAAAAAAAAAGCCAGTGTAGAGTTGCATTGCTGGCTGGTGGAGAAGAGAAGCCGGCCATCGTGGGATGCCCGCAGAGGAAACAGATCCTTAAACAACTATTTGTTATATACATTTTATTGAAAAAATTTTACATCAAAATAGGTTGGCAAACTGTAAAAGTATACATAAGTGCAAATATATTCTCCTTTTAAAATACAAGCAAAGTGTGAGTATACACGAAAATCATAACAATATCTTTAAAATATGGTGGTAGAAAACAACCTTGTAGAAAACGTTGTATTGTCACAATACTGAAAACCACTTTCTTAAACTAGACACATTGTTTCTAAATACTTTCTCAATAATGTTCTTTGGCACCTGTATCCAAACGTGGTATTGGCCACACAGAACTCTCCTACTCAGCTGGGCACCAAGAGGAGCCTTTCTTGAAGTCTGTGCTTAGTACTGCCTGTTTGAAAAGCACACAAATTTTCATAGGCAAAGAAAAACACACACACACAACTAGTCTGCGTTTTCCCGACCCTGATTACTGAAGGCAGTGAAGCTCCCAGAGTTACAAGTTTACGTTTTTCATGTGGTAGCTTTTTACCATTGCAGCCATGAAGTGGAGGTCCCAGTTCTCTGGCCCCTTACCGGAAGCCTGCACATATTTGGGGCATTAACCTTGCAGGGGGCGTCCATCTACCCACGGAGACAAGTCTCAGTGAACAGTGCTCACCTGGCTAAGTGACTGGTGTGCTACTTACTGCTGTGGGTGCACATTCTCTGGGTCCACCTCAGCTCATTCTGCCCCACGGAGAGAGTGGCCTTGGCTGGCCTCCTCCCTCTATTCACATGACGCAGGGCTTAATATCCTGACAGACACTCTGGTGGTGGTGGTGGTGATAATAGGGCCCGCTAGCAGAGGGATGGAAAGAAGAAATGCCATTAAAGTTGAGGACGAAGTCTTTTCTGTCACACACTGGGGTAGAGTGATGCTGGTATCGAGGCAGTCCCACTGAAAGAAGAAAGAAAAGAAAAGCCCTTTCAGAAACAAATTCATCCAGCTAAGGATGGGGCATATTATTTTTTAAATTTTAATTTAACTCGTGTCTTATTTTGACTCGAGGTTAAAAAAAGGATTGGTGTATTGTTTTTTGTCTATTGCTATAAAAGCGGTAAAGGAAATCCAGCTCTAGAAGTGTCTCAAAGCTTCAACTTGTAGATCATAGGAAGACCCTGGAATCATTGTTTTGCTTTGCTTTGCTGCCCTCGCAGACACAGAGCCAGTGCCCGGTGCAGGCTGGCCCGGGCGCCCGAATTCCCCTGCTCCTCCCCGGGCCGGGCCGGGCCAAGCCGGGCGCGCGCCTTACCCGCGGGCGGAGCGCCGGCATCGGGACCGCCCGACCAGGCTCTGAGGTCGGGGCCTGAGCGCCGCCAGAGCCCTCGCTGCGGACGCCAAGGCTCCTGCCCCGGAAACAACACTGTCGCCTCGACCTCACCTCTTGTTTCGAGCCTCCTGCCTTATTTCCCGAGTGACCCGGTCCGAGTGGCAGCCCACAGCAGGGACATTCCCTATGCTAAAAGAGGGTGACTCAAAGAATCCCATCGCGAGAAAAAGGGCCGGGCAGGAGAGGGCGCGTCCCCGTGGTTGCGAGGGTCTCTAGGCCCCGGAGCAGAGCGGACCGTCGGGGAGAGCTCAGCGGCAGAGCGCCGGCACGTGGCGGCGTCGGCGGCCGGGGAGCGGCGCGAGCACCGAGAAGGCCGCACCGTCTCCCGGGCCGCTCCTCGGCCGAGGGCCTGGGCCCAGCCGCTCGGGGCCGACGCGCGCCAACGTTCGCTTCTGCTTTCTCGGCGCCGCCGGGCTCAGGGCGCAGGCGGCCGGGGTCGCAGGGCGCGCGGGGACCCGGGCTTCTGCCGGCCGGGGCCGGCCTGCTCGCTGCAGTCTGCGGAGCCAGCCGTGCGCGGTGCGGGCCGGCCCGATTCGGCTGCCAGCGCGTGAAGGCCGCACCGCCGGCCCGAGGAGCTCATGCCCTGCTCGCGTCGCCTCGGCCTGGCCGTGTCCCAGCGCTTATGGAGCTACCAGGCTGCTAAGTGACCCGCGACTCGGCCTACGTTTATTGCCGGATAACACCTATTGTCGCCAGCTCTGCACCGCACGGAACCCGGAAAGCAGCAGCCGGTCCCCGCGCCCTGCACACGGGCGCATCGCGCTGCCAGTCCCTGGATCTCAAAAGAGCCGAGGCCGGGCCCGGCGCGAAGGCTCACCTCTCCCGGCCAGGGCCGCCGTGGGGACTTTGCTGTGACTGGAGGGAGCACAGAAGCCTTCTCCTTCTCCAGGGGTCTCCCTGAGCACACAAGCTTTGGCCACCCCATCGGAGTGGGAGGGCGCAGCCCGCGCGCGCGTGCTTGGGGGGCCTCCTTGGCCCGCGGCCCCGGTCCCGCTCGGCCTCCCCACTCATCGCCCGGCCCTCCGCTCTTAGGTGGCCGTTCGGCCCGGCGGGGCGCACACTCCGAACCAGACCCCCAGGGCGGCCGCGCACCCGGCCCTCCTGAGACATGCCAACCAGGGCCTAGAGAAGAATATGCTAGAGGGATGGGAGCCAGAGGGCGAGGAAGGTGCAAAGTGTCCCGTTTGGGCTTCGGTCCCAGACTCGGCGCAGAGGTGGTGCGAGGCTCCCGGGGAGGGCACCGCCGGCCGGCCTGCCCGCTGCAGTTTTTCTTCTCGTGAAGACAGAGTCGGGCTTCCGGATCCCCGCCTTTCTGGGACTTGTGCGTGAGCCCGGTGTGGGTGTGTGGCGTGGAGCGAGGGCAGCCCCTCGGAAGGATCAGAAGTCTCTTTCCCACGAGTTTTTTGTTTTAAACTTTTAGGGACCTGTTTCACGGCTGCTGCGAAGCCTCGGCGCCTGGGCTCCAGTTGAGCAGGACCTGCCCGGAGAGGCAGCGCGGCGAGCGCCAGGAAAGCGGGTGGGCGGGAGGGCAAGCCCGGGGCAGGGGGCGCCGCCTGGGGTGGGCGGTGATTGACAGCCAGTCCGAGGGGATAAAAAAAATAAGACGAGAGAGTCGTCTGTATTGGTTACTTGTTGAAATTCCCATAAAATTGAACAAGACTCTGCTCTCAGTGGGTTAAGTCAGGCTAAAATCCTCTCCGGTGTGGTCCTGCCGAGACGGTCTTTGTTTAGTTAACCTCTGAGACCCGCATTTAAAAGGCCTATTTGGGAAACTTCACCGTCCAGGGAACCAACATCTTTTGCCCATTTCTAGGCTTCCCGTCTCCCTTGATGCTCTCGTCGCACACCGAGTCCGGAGCAGATAATGTATGCATCATTCTGCGAACCATTTTCTAATCGGGCGGAAGGTAAACTAAGCATCCTTTGACGGGCGGACCAGCCCAGTTCTAATCTGCCGCCTGTGGTCCTCGGAGGGGTCAATGGAAGAGAGTTTATCTCACTATCCGATAAACCTGGCTAAATATTCGAACGTCTTCCTCCACCCCATCTGTCCCCTCCCACCTCTCACTGCCCCTGGCAAGTCAATAAATTTTCATAATCTCAGATAAACACAATTTACACCAGTAACACTACAAGCTGCATCCAAGGGACAGGCATTTCTCAGGAGAGTCACAACGTGGGCCTCAAATCTGCTGGCCTAGTATAGACTCATGTGTCATCAACGTGGGTCCTCTGTGGGGGGAGTAGGGAACTCCTCAACAGCCTGGCGCCCCTCCCCGCTGGCAACATGTCACTCCTGTGAAAGACCCTGGGACCCCACTCTGCTCCTCCCTCATTTCCCCTCCTCTCAACAATTGCCTGGTTGCGGCCCCTCCCCATCCACACTCAGCATACAGAGCATCCCCCTTTCTGACATTTACTTTTAGAGGAAAGTACAGCAAAACAAACTAGAAAAAAAAAAAAAAAAAAAGACAGAAGGAACCAGCTCAGGGCCAAGGTTCCTAGAGGCCATGCTATGTCAGGCCTGAGACTTGAGATCTGCAATCTATAGAGACACCCAGAGACCCTAAGAAGGCTGGTGACTTTGCATCATCCTCCCAGCAGTGCGAATTCTGGAGGCCCAGCTCTGGGCCAAGGATGTGGGGGAGGGCAGTATGACCCCAGTCCTCTAGCCCCATGAATAAGGTGCCAGCTCCCTCCAGCACCCGCTCCTCCCGGTGCCCTCAGGCCCCCAGGCTGCAGCAACTCGGTGGAAGTGGCAGTAGCCACGGAGCCCAGAGGCCTGGAGCCCCCCACCCCGTCCCCAGCGGTCCCGCACCGGCGCGCTCCATTACCTGGGAGGTCCTCGCGGGCGTTCTGGTGCAGGTAGCTTTGCTCCAGCGAGTAGGAGGACATGCCGGAGTGCAGGCCGGCCGAGGCCGCGGGGTTGCTGCTTGGCGTGAGGGCGGGCGGCTGCTTGAGGTAAGGCGAGGCGCCGGGCGAGCTCCAGTGAGCCGCGGGGCTCGTGTAGGGTGAGTGGCATTCGATGGCGCTCGCCATGGCCGGGGACGAGGGCACAGGGCTGCTGCTGCTGTC